AACGGGACGAAACGAGTGTGGGACGAAACGAGAGGGGACGAAACAAGTGTGGGACGAAATGAGACGGGACGAAACGAGAGCTAATTAACAAATACGGGACGAAACGAGAGTAATCCTTTCATTTTGCTAGTTTAGAACTGGTCATTTACTTTTAAAAATATTACGTCTGTATTTCATGTCGTTCGTCGGATATGGATCAAACAATACCAAAATAAAATGTTTTTAGCATCATAACTCGAAACAAAACTATTTCTTTCCCCACATTTTTCAAATATTTTCCTGTAATGCTTCTCTCTTTTACTACACTTTATTAGGGAAATAATAGCAGAAGAAAAAGTTCAAGTCGAAAAAAAATACCAAATTTACAAAGTTTTCATTTTTTTCGTGTTTTATATAATTTGCTTAGTTTTCTTAATTAGTTCTAAAATTAGAGTTTAGGTATAATTTTGTAGAGAATTTTGCGGTAGTTCTATTAAAAAAAAAAGAATTTGTTCCAGGGAACCTAGGGAACAGGAGTTAGCACAAAAATACCGGGACCGACATTATTTATGATACACACGTTATATAACCCTAATTTGCAGCAATATACTCGTAGATTCTCTTGTTTCAAAAAAATATTAAATTATCGCACTAATATACGATCAAACGTAGGAAAAATAATACTTTTTATTATTATTCTATTAAATAAAGTATTTGAAATTCTTATTTATCTTATTTAACCTTTGACGATTTTTCTTTAAAACTATGCAATTCACTCATATGAATAGAAAAAGAAAACTCATACTTTTGCTAAACGTTCATTTGCCGCTTGCCATTGACGGACTAATGCATCTTCAGCTTCTTTTTTCATTCGTCTTAATAATTCTTTTTCATTTTCTTCACTAACTTCATGTATATGATGTTTCTGATCAATGTTAGTCAATAAATTATTAAACTCCTAAAAAAGACAATGGGATTATTTTTCAATATTTGAAAAATGTGGGGAAAGAAATAGTTTTGTTTCGAGTTATGATGCTAAAAACATTTTATTTTGGTATTGTTTGATCCATATCCG